TATATATATATATAATTTGTATGTGTGTGTCCAAAGTAGATAACCCCCCCCCCGAACATTCATCAAAACTACGCCACTGTTTACGCCTGTTCTTAACCCAAAACGCGTGTTTTTTTAGTTGTGCCACTATTGCTGCTCATGAGCCATAATATATATTATTTTATGCTTTTCTTTCCATTGATTAGTTAAAAAATGAATAAATTTGAGAGATATTGCGCATATATTTGAATCTAACATTCCTTATCATATTAATTTTCAATGTGGAAGGTAACGAAAAAGCAATGCAATGCGCTAATTTTAAACTATATATAATCTTGCCGTGAAGAATTTTCTGGACTTTATAACAGACAAATAACTTAAATATTTTTAAAAGTTATTAAACTTTTTTTAAAAAATCGTTATTGTGTCTACCTTTTGCCACCTAGATGAAAAGTATCCCAGGTCCAGGTTTATGAAAGCTCAGGTAATGCAGCATTGGAGTAAGTTTTTATATATTAAAAAAATTAGATGACAAACTCTTTTGGCGTAGCTACCACTATAAATATTAAATACTAATTCACTAGTATATAAGACCTGTTAACTTTATTCTGTTTAGTGGTACCTTTTGATGGATGAAGGTTAATATGGTCGATAATTTTATTCCCCACAATAGTGACCTGAGGACGTGATATGAACTCGATGACATGATGGAAGGTATGGTCCACATTAAACAGTTGATTTGCTTACTATAAACTGCTCAATGAAAAAAAATCCGGTGACGTAAATAAAGTATCCCGATAATAAAAGCAATATTGAAAAAGAAAAATGAGCAAAAATCCTATAAACAAAAAATGAGCGAAATGCTATAAACAAAAATGGAGGAAAATAATGAGCAAAATGCTACAAATTTAAAAAAATGAAGAAAAAATATAATGAGAAAAAATGTTATAAATAAATAAACTACATTAATCAACTAGTGGTATTCATTCATCGAATTCTATCACAGATAAAATTCTGGAAGGGGAGTAATGTGGCGCCACTATAAATATCTATATATATATTTCTCTTACACGGCGACAAAAAAGCCTCATTACAACTCCCCGAATGGCAAAGCTAGAAAATTGACGAATGATAGCCCTGCCACTTGCCAAATCTAGCTGAGGTCGCTCAACATATAGCATTTTTAAAATTTTAAAAACGAAAACTAAAATAATAGATCTCTATTTTAGTATTTTGTCGAAAGCACTTTTTTCACGAATTTATATATTACGAATTTATTTGACGATTTTTGATTTATACCACGAATTATACTATAGCACATTTCTAATAGGTTTAACGAAAATCATGTCACTTATTTGAATTCAAATTTATTTTAATGGCTTAGTATTTACCAGAGATGGGCATTTGTCATTCAGAATAATGAATAAAGAATGATGAATAATTATTCAAAATCTGAATAATGAATAATGAATCAAGATTTATTCATTAGTCAGAAATATTTTGAATAAAGAATAAATCATTCATTATTCTTTATTCGAATAAAGAATAAATCATTCATTATTCTTTATTCAGTATCCTTTATTCATTAGTCAAGAATAACTGAATAATTTCACTGGTCAACAAAAATAGGCACGGAATACTCTGACTACGATTATGACAACTACAAATAAAACGTTAATCCTTTTCAAGTATATTTATATAATGCTTGAGGAAATTTACTTTTGTCTAACATATTGCATACATTTGAGAAATGGTTCCATGGCAAAAAAGCGTTTAATTTTTTAAGTAAAAATCTGTTTTAAAAAGTTAAAATAAGATTATCGTTTGCTTTCAAAAACTATAAGAAATTGCATCTTATAGATTTTGGAACAAAATTTTAAAATGAACTTAAGTAACTAAACTGTTATAAACCTACTTTTTAGCGCACCTAAGTATGTTATGCTGGAGTAAGTTAAAATAACATAAAAATAAATATTCATACTTGTCTTAATTTTATAGTTAAATTCCTAAAATAAGACATTTAAGAGCAAACGATGTTTTGTATCTCGTTATAGACAAAGACATATCGATTGCATTTTTCGCTGGTTATTCAAAATTTTATTCAGAAAAATTAGTCATGACTAATGATAATTTTTTATACATTTGCATAATGAATGATGAATAATGACTAAATTTTCATATGAATAATCATTCAGAATAAATTTAGTCATGAATAAAATTTTCGTGAATGATGCCCATCACTGGTATTTACTCAAAAGATGTAATTTTTTTTTAAAAAAAAAGTTGTTATATGGATTTGAATGATTGTTTTCAATTCTTAGAATTTTGTGGATTTGCCATGTACCTAAGTTAGTAGCGAGCAAAGCGAGCTTGGTTTGCGAAGCAAACCATATAAGATTGCGTAGCAATTTTCGGGGGTTGGCGAACGTTAGCAAGAAGGGGGCGCAGCCCACTAGTTAAATACTAATTCACTAGTATATAAGACATGTTAACTTAATTCTATCATGAGGTACCTTATGATAGATGAAGGTTGGCATGGTCGATAATTAAATCCCCTCACGCTCTTCATTTTCACAAAACTGAGACTTTTCTCCATATTGACATTCTGCGCCATTTTCGAAATAAGTGTAAACCATGCGGGCTTTAGATAGGTTAAACTTGACCAAACAATCATGAGTAACAGTTGCAAACTCACAGCAGTTATAAAAATAGAATATTATTTGCAAAAAAAAACAAAACATAATTTCATATTACGAGGGAGCTTTCGAAAAACAACCTTAAAATGTATAACTCATATGAGATGGTTGATGAGAGAAAATATATTAGATGAAATGATATAATATGAGAAAATATTTATTGATATGATAAAATGATACGATAATATGAACTAATATACATTAACATGATAAAATGATATAATTAGAGGAAATGAAATAATGTAATTTCATATAATCTAGATCGAATAGTTTTTTTTATCTTGTATGATATGAATCTTCCATAATTCAATTTAGAATCATATTAATTTTCAATGTATAAAGTAGTGAAAAGTAATCCTACTTATAACTGAAATAATGTCAAGGATAATTTGAAACGTACGAAAGCTTATAAGTGGATTAGAAAAATTGAAAAAATTTAATGTTTTATGAAAATTTAAAAATATTAATTTTTTAAAGTTTCATATTTCTGGAAATATTATTCGAAACATGTGCTTCCAATTTTAAAATTTTTCATTCCAAATTACAAAAATTAATATTCAGCCGAAGTTTGTAAGCTTTACAATTCGAAACGTTTTCAACCATTAGTAAAAAAAATAATGAAAACTAATTTTTTTTTACATAAATTTATATTTTGATAAATAGGTATTAGAATTGTACGCAAAAATGCTTAGATTTTCTTAAAAAGATTTGCTTAAGAATCGCAGCCCCTCATCAACCCCGATGATTGTTTCGAAATAATTGTTATTTCATGGCATAAAATTTTTTTTTCTTACGAAATTTGAAATTTTATTCCTAAAATGCTGAAAATATTAAAAAGAATTTTGTTTGGTTGGAATGTATACTTATATTATTGCAATAAATTTAATTAACATGATAGTAATATTAAATCTTCAGAAATTAACTTTTATCATCCATACGAAAGCTAGTTTGACCATCTGCATAACTATAATTTAAAAATTTTCAAACTAATAATCATGCAATAAATATTGTTTATATTCTAGTTTCTTTTTTTTCAAAAAAAACTTACTTACTGTGGTTATAGGCATCGTCCGGATACACATTTTTTACGCTTACTTTATCACTTAAATCATCACTCAAAGCTATACTAACTAATGATGCCGCAAGAAGTAAAGTCAGGCACATATTTACTCAACTTTTAACATTTAAGACCCAAACTGAAAAAAATTTAGTTTGATAACTATATTGAAAAGTTGTATGACAAGTAAAAAAAAACTCTTTTTATTATGTTTCTAAATTGCTATGTCATAATTTAAAATGACTCCCGAATGAGTTTTATTTATTTCAGAATTCATAATTTAATATTTCATGTTTCTCGTACCGCTAACTGTTTAAATGAAATAACTGTATTTGCNTTTTGTTTGGTTGGAATGTATACTTATATTATTGCAATAAATTTAATTAACATGATAGTAATATTAAATCTTCAGAAATTAACTTTTATCATCCATACGAAAGCTAGTTTGACCATCTGCATAACTATAATTTAAATATTTTTAAACTCATAATCATGCAATAAATATTGTTTATATTCTAGTTTCTGTTTTTTAAAAAAAAACTTACTTACTGTAGTTATAGGCATTGTCCGGATACACATTTTTTACGCTTACTTTATCACTTAAATCATCACTCAAAGCTATACTAACTAATGATGCCGCAAAAAGTAAAGTCAGGCACATTTTTACTCAACTTTTCAGTCCAAACTGAAAATAATTTAGTTTAATAACTATATTGAAAAGTTGTATGACAAGTAAAAAAAAAACTACTACTTCAGTCCAAACTAAAAACAATTTAGTTTGATAACTATATTGAAAAGTTGTATGACAAGTAAAAAAAAAAACACCTTTTTATTATGTTTTTAAATTGCTATGTCATAATTTAAAATGACTACCGCATGAGTTTTAGTTATTTCAGAATTCATAATTTATTATTTCATGTTTCTCGTACTGCAAACTGTTTAAATGAAATAACTGCATTTGCCAGATATTGCGGATATATTTAAGATCAATTTAGTTTTTAATGTGCAAAGTAACGAAACATAATCTAAGGTTAGATTAAGCAAGATTCGTTTCAAAGATAGTATATGCAAATGTTTAAACACATATATTTGGAATTTATTAAACGTACGTCTGTCCTCGAGGAAAATAATTGTCATTTTCATTTTTCAAAAATTGCCTCATCATAAATTTAAATGAATTTTAATGTTTTTTTTTTTTNTTTTTTTTTTTTTTTTTTTTTTTTTTTTTTTTTTTTTTTTTTTTTTTTTTTGCTCTTAAATGCAAAACTTGCCATTAGTTATATATGAGATTGTTGTGGAAATGAAAATATATAAGATGAGTTGATAGGTAAGAGGAAAATAAATAAGATGATATGATATCATAATGTGAAATAATGTAGTTTGGTATGATAAAATTATATCTATCGATGAGATGAAATAATGTAATTTCATATAATCTATTTTCAATAGTATTTTTTTTATCTAGAATAATATTAATTTTTTACAATTTGCTCTAGAATTAGATTCTTCTTCTTCTCATTGGCACGACAGCCCAGGATGGGCCTTGGCCTTCTCAACAAGCCTATGCCAAGACATTCTTCCCTTAGCCAAGGTTCTCCAGTTAAATTAGATTAATTTCTTATAATTTGTTCTAGAATTAGATTAATTTTTTATAATTAGATCTAGAATTATATTAATTTCCAACGTGTAAAGTAGTGAAAAATAATTCTGTTAAAATAACATTTGTATCAAAAATGATTGATAATGCGTATGAGTGTATGGAGAATCAGAAAAATTTAGGAATATAATGCGAAAAATTAAAAAATTGAAATCTCTTAAAATATTATTCGACCAAAAATCCAACACCTTCCAATTTTGGAATTTTTCATTTAAAACTGCATAATTTAATATTGTGTAAAAATTTGTAAGCCTCACAATTTAAAAAGTTTTCACCCGTTAGTTTTTTAAAAAAAACTAATTAACCATCATGAAAAATACTTTTTATATTGATTTATCTTTGGATAAACAGACCTTAAAATTGTACGCAAAAGCATTACGAAAAAAGTCGTTGCCGCTCAACTATCCCGATGGTTTTGGAACACTTCATGAATAGCTCACCCCCTCATCTATTCCGATGTCTCCCTACGAGTTCTCAAAGTTCCGAGCAGGTGTTTAAGAAGTGGAGATTGTTCTATTTTTCTTATTTTTATTAATTTATTTATTCTGAGATTAGGCTTCATCTTTGAGATAAGAGATTCGGACGAAGAACGGACGCTGTATCGATTCAGAAAATATTTTTCTGGTGACTATTTTTGTTGTATTTGGGAGGAGACATTTATAATTTTGTCAATGAACACAAGAAAGCAGTGGCGGCTCTGGAGATAGAGCGATTCCCCTTCCAATGAGATGAATTGCTTTCGAATCCTAGCCGTGGTTGGGCGATATGAATTCCGCACCCAGCTCGCATCGACCACAGTGCTGACGTAAAACATTCTCAATGGTAGACGGATCACGGGTCCCCTTGTCGCCAGGCTAGCGAGGAATGTTCTCGTAGTTTTTCCTCTCCATGTAACATAAATGCGGTTTTATTTAATCGAAAAATCCTCTAGGAAGGCAAATTTCTGCCATACTTGATCCAGGAGTACGACGGAATTGAAGATTTGTAGTCGTGAACCCAAGATTGGGCCGACTGTTCAACTACGGTTAGGAAGTAAAATATAAAATATGAACTCTATAAAACTGTGCATAAATTTGTAAATAGAATTACTTATTTCAGAAAATTCTACTAAAATAAACCAGCTTAGATAAGAGTGATTGTTTTGCCTTTCAAAATGTACCGAAATCGTCACATTATTATCTAATAGTATTTCATATATTTAGATCTATTGGTAAACAGAATTAATTTATCTAAGTCATCATTTTTTAAAATACCATTTATATTGTTATGACATTTAACAGATATCTTTAACTGTAATTTATAACAGTATATCTATGTTATTTGCACAAAAATAATTGTTGCCACTCCCATTAAGTTGATCATTTCCGTCATGTTTTCTTTTAGTCAATTTTGTATTACATTATATTTTGAGTTTCTGAATCTGGCAATTTTATTTTATGTTCTTTTTTATGTTTTATAATATTAAGTAAGAGAACCTACGATACGTTACGTTTTAAGGGAATTTGTACAATTTTCATCTTTAGGTTGAACGATTATGCTTTCAACAAACTTGTAAATAATATATTATGTAAATAGTCCTGTTATTCTGTGTGTTGTATTGTGAAATAAAGTAATTTGAAACAAAACAATTCTTGAGTCAGAACAAAGTGGCGTCCGTGACATGGACTTTGTACTCTGCAATTCGATGTGAAATGGAATACGGCAAAATTACGAACAAGATATTACTTTGTTAAGGATAAAACGGGTACGAGTAATTTTGAATTTTGGCTGCTTCTGTTATATCTTTTTTTATGAAGTATTCTTTCATGTAGAGTTTATACGTTTGATTTGAATTAAGTTTAAGAAAGAAAAATAAATCGAGATTTAGAATAAGTAGAAACTGAGGGCTTATTAAGTGAATTTAGTTAATAAATGGACTAAATATTATTTACATTAAGAATATGGATAATCTTAAAGTGAAAAGAAAGATTCATTAAGAACAACTTCTACTACTACTTCGAATAAGTTGGCACAATATTTGACGAATGTTATTAAACTGTTGCCAAGGATATTAATCAGTTGTACGCACTAAGGTAACAATTGCAAGATAAACTTTCTCGTTTGGATGAAATTGAAAATGAAATATCCTCAGTACTCTTAGCAAAATCTGAAACCATTCCTGAATACGAAACTGATTCTGAAGCAGTGGAAAAGTTTAGAGATAATTATCTTGAACTAGACGCAAAAGTCGCAACTTTTTTAAATAAGGACTCTGAATTCATCGCCAAAGGTTCTTTAGAGGATAATGTCGTGAAAGTAAAAACTACTGATATTTGATTTCTGGTGGGCATAAGGAATATCTCACATTCTGGAGCATTTTTTCAAAAATTCATGAATCCGAAGATTTACCTGCGATCGACAAGTTCTGATATTTATACCAATCTTTGGTACCCGAATCCAAGGCTGCAAGATTAGTTTCCAGTTTCCCAATAACAGCAGAGAATTATCCGACAGCCATTAAATAATTGAAATTAAGGTTTGGCCAAGAAGATTTTTCAGTACAAATTTGCGTCGAGATTTCCTTTCTCAGTTATGAGGTGCTTCAATTCTTTATTTATGTTTTGTCTTTCTGGAGTACTTTCTTAAACTGAATCAATCTGATTGTGATACAAAAGATCTTATTTGATGCAGTTTTAATTTCCATACCTGTGAGTCTGCCTAAATTATTAATTCTATCTCCAACGTAACGAATCAGGTGACCATCAAGACTGTGACCAATAAGATGGATATTTTCTGGTTCCAATCCAGTTTGTTCCTAAACAAATAGAAGGTAAGAACTTAACAATTTGTTAACTAGCATTTTTACACATAAACTGTATCATGTCACCGGCTATTTTTGTAACTGAATATGGAAGTAAAGTGAAACATTCTAAACGATGAGAGCAGTTTTAACAACATTCTATAACAGGGGTTTCCAACTGGCGACCCGGCGGCCGCATTCGGCCCGCGAGCCCTTTTTTGTGGCCCGCGAGCTAAAATATATTAGTTGTCAATTTTTTACGGACAATTTTCGTAAAAAGTCTATATGGGTTTAAAATACTTTTCTCGTTAATAAAAACCTAATTTCTTCGTTTCTGTAAAATTTAACATACCAAAGGTGCAAAGAAATTTATTTCTCAGGTTTTGCATCCAAGAAAATATTTATTAAAATACAAAAATAATCGTGTATGTTGTTCTTTTTTATTTCAGTTTTTTGTACTTTGTGAATATAATTTAGCATGTGCTTATTAGAATTTTTCTCGAAGAAATTCTCCGATTTAACTTTTTGAAACCACTAATTTTGGACGAAAATATTTACACACACATTTGTAAGTTTTACATTTAAAATGTAATTATCTATTCTCTGGTGATTGCAGCAGACAAACCTCAATTTTCTCATTGAATATTTTGAGTGCTAAGTTTTAATACCGAACTTTTTAAAATTTTACATCTTATTACATTAATTGCTTAATACATAAGTGCACATTGAAGTTATTGTAGCCCGAATTTTTATTATTTATTTAATATTTTTTAAAATATTATTAATAACAATTAAATATTTTTAAAAATCTACCTCTTATTTTGATCTGTAATTCAATACTTTTGTTTTGTATAACTTCTTGTTTTGTGAAAATCTGACAGTAATATTTAATGTCCCTTCAAACATAAAAAAGGCATAAAATTTTGATAAACTTGAGGCCCGCCATTTGATTCGTGTTTTTAATTCTGGCCCCCGGCCTCGTGTAAGTTGGAAACCCCTGTTCTATATCGTCCTAGATTTCATAAGTTGAAACAGATAATGCAGGTGCAATGACGAGTTAAGTCGTTATAGGTCAGCAACGTTTAGGCATGAAAAGACGAGTTCTCTCGTCAGCGGTTGTTAATAATATGTTAAGTTTAAGAATGTGTTATTTAACATTTCTGTGAGTTTTAGAAAAATCAATTTATTAGAGAGATTTTGCATTCTTTAGTTAAACACTGGTTCCACAACCAATTTAGTCATTTTTCTTTCTTTTTCGAATCAGACTTAGTTTATAATACCGTTTAATTTCTTTAGGCTAAGATTTTTAATC